CTCGGCCTCCCAAAGTGCTAGGATTACAGGTGTGAGCCACCACACCTGGCCATAATCCATATTTTTAATAAAATACAGCCTGAAAATAAAATTTTGAAAATTTATCTGCTTTAAGTTTTGCCTTTTATTATAATCACAAATACACCAATATGATCATTTAAGTTATAGGTTGAGTCTCCCTTATCTGAAATACTTGGATCTCGAAGTGTTTCAGAGTGTGAATTTCTTTCCAATTTTGGAACATTTGCATTATACTGATTGATCATTCTAATCTGAAAATAGAAATCCGAAGTGCTCCAGTGAGCATTTCCTTTGAGCATCATGTCAGCGTTCAATAATTTTTAGATTTTAGGGCATTTCAGATTTCATATTTTTGGATTAGGCATATTCAACCTGTATAATAAAAATTGTTTTCATTTTTTGCTCCTCGAATAAATATTTTTTGTAAGTCCCAAAAATAGTAATATTAGGTAATATATAAATTATTAGGTCATCTCAGTTATTAGATTATTTAAATTGTGATTGCCAACATTTACTTCTATAAATGTGTTACAAAACATGTATCAGGTTTTAAATGTAAAAATGTAACTAATATGTTTTTGAATTCTTCTTTTTTGGGTAGTCTCAGGACAAAACGTCGGGAGGTATTAATCCAGAACCTTGCCCAATCTGTGCTCGACAACTGGGAAAACAGGTGAAATTATAATAAACGTTACATGCACTTATAAAATACCTTACAGTTTTCAAAGGTTCCTACACACAGTATGTTTATTTCTTTCTTTCTCTTTTTCTCACAAACTGTTTATATGAAAGGTAAGTATTACTTTCATCTTAAAGGTAGCGCCAGAGGTTAGGTGAGAAGCTTAGGGTTACATATGTTTGAGCAATATTTCCTAAATGATAAGTGAAAAAATATTTCTAAAATGAGCTCATCTTTTTCATTAAAGATGCATAGATTTGAACATGTTCTAGTCACAGATTGTGTCCAAGTGATTCGATTTTGTTGGATTAACATAGTTATTCAGTAATTGTACAGAAATGTAGTACAACTCACATAGATTTACTTAAGAAAAACACAGGTATAGTAACATAGCTGTATTAATACCTCATAATACTAGGCTTTAGAGTACAAATATTTAATAACATCTCTCCTAGGGGAATTTAGATGTAATTTTTAGAAGACTGTTACATTAAGTATGTTTCTTTGTGAATATTAATGTATAAATACCTGTGAACATAATGGCATCATATGCTCCTTTAAGAGATGCGTATTTTTGGCCGGGC